TAGGGTAGAAGCTAGGTACCCAATGACACTGGCCCAGATAGCACTGGGCAGTGCTGGAGGTGTGGGGGGACGACCCAGAATTTTGGAGGACACTCCCCAAATTTTTGCAAGGATGGAGCTGGGTCAGCCTGAAACTAGCAGCTTCTTCTAGGACACTCATGTGAGTGCAGGGGCACAAGCTTTCGCAGGCCACTAATAGGGAGTTGGATGGGAAGTAGAGCAGCCAAGACTTGAACTGGCAACCATGTGGGATGCTGGTACAACTCGCTGTGCCACGGCACTGACCAGAAGCTGGTTTCTTAACTTGGCACGTGAGCTGGAACAGGACCAGTTTGTTCTATTAGTGTCCTAGTCAAACTTCAACCTGGATTCAGGGGCTGCCCAGCTTGGGTGCCGGGGGCAGAACGTGCAGGGCAGAGACGCCCTGAAAAACCGCACAGCGGCAGGCCGGAACCCACTGGACGCGCCCCCGTGGTCTGCCGGAAGACCACCCGGAGCTCCATGGGAAACACCGGAAACAGGGCGGGGCGGCGTGACTGGTCGGCGCCCTGAGGAGGGCTCCGCGGCCTGCCAGGCCCAGTGCCCCTTAGCTGTGAGGGGTGAGTGGGCAGCAGCCCGACGCCTGCGCGTGCTTTCTGGGGTCCATGGATTTCAGTGTCTGCCTCTGGCGACCCCCCAGACGCCCCACAGCCCCGGAGCGCCCCGTGCCAGGGCCGCCTGGCTCCGCAGTGTCCATGGGGGCCCACAGCACGGCTGCCCTGAGGTAAGGACAGCCTGGCATGGAGTAAGGAGGTGCTGGGTGAGGATCCGGCCCGGAGCGGGGGCTGTGTGAGGACAGGAACGTGGGGCGCACGGCCCTCCACGGGGTGTGCAGGGCGCAGGCCACGGCCGGTGTGGCAGGCGAAAGGACCCCTTGTAAGCCTGTGCGTGCTGCCAGGGTGCCCGGGGCTGGGGACTCCTTGGTCATAGGGTCTAAATGTTGCCCATTTCTCGTCGTTGTTGGAAAGTCTCAGACATATCACCATGTGAGGTGTGTAAGATGTGTGTCACGAGGGGAGTGTTGGCCTCGAAATTGCAATTTTAAAAAGGATTATGTATTTGTTTGAAAGCATGACAGAGCCAGCCAGGGCTGGGCCAGACCCAGGCCAGAAGCCTGCAGCTCCCACCACCCGGGTCTGCCACAGGGACAGGAACCAGCGCCTGGCCGCGCGGCCCTGCGGCTGCCGGTCCTGCTGCTGGGGCGCTGGGCTCACCGGCCTCCAGGCCCCGGCGGCGGGCGCCCTCGCGTGGCCAGCCTGGCCAGCGCTTTCCCGGCTGACCTGCTTGCCAACAGGGATGAGGATGCCAGGTGAGGGTCTGGAACAGCAGGGAGGGCACTCTGCTGCTGCCCAGCTTGGGAGACCCATCCTGCCGCCCAGACGGAGCCGTTGGGCTTGGTTACCAGCCCCCCCAGGGTCTTCTCCGGGTGCCCAACTTGCAGTATTGCTCAGGTGCAGCTAGTCTCCACCTGGCAGCCGTGAACGCTGTGGTGTGGCCTCTGCAGGGCTGGCAGAGGTCTGGGCAGGGTTCCCACAGCAGCAGTGAGGGTTTCTTTTTTCTTTTTTTTTTTTTTTAAGATTTATTTATTTATTGGAAAGTCAGATATACAGAAAGGAGAGACAGAGAGGAAGATCTTCCTTCCAATGATTCATTCCCCAAGTAGCCACAATGGCCAGAACCGCACCGATCTGAAGCCAAGAACCAGGACCCTCTTCTGGGTCTCCCATGCAGGTGCAGGGTCCCAAGGCTTTGCGCTGTCCTCCACTGCTTTCCCAGGCCACAGGCAGGGAGCTGGATGGACAGCCGGGGTACAAACTGGTGCCCATATGCGATCCCAGCACTGCAAGCTGAGGATTAATTAGCCTCCTATGCCAGCCCCCAGAGAGGTTTTCTTTCTGGACTCCTCTGTTTGTCCTCAAGAGGATTACTTCATGAAGCCAACTTCAAGGACTGGATGTCCTGACTTATCAACTTTAAACTCTGTAGTTCTGTTTTGTGTTGTAAAGACAGTTATATATAGAGTTGGCAAGTGACAGGGACACGAGAGAGATCTCCCTCCCACTGCTTCACTCCACAGATGGCCTGGGTGGCTAGAGCCGGCCAAGCTGGAGCCAGGAACTTCTGGGTCTCCCGCAGGGTGCAAGGGCCCGGGTGCTCGGCCGTCTTCTGCTGCTTTCCCGTGAGCATTAGCAGGGAGCAGACCGCAAGTGGAGCATTCGGGACTTGAACTAGTGCTGATGTGCAACGCTGCTGTGCTGCACACAGGCCCTGAATTCTTTGTTTCTGAAATGCATCTTACTATCCTGCAGGTAGACTGTCAGAGCCTGGCAGGGTGTGCTCTGGGCAGGGGGACCTCAGATGGACCACATATCAGGGGGCTCAAAAATTAGAACAAGTGCATATCATGAAAAAGGTGTGTATGAATTTCATTTTCTTGTATCAAAGTTTATCTTTTAATTGCATTTCCAAAGACCTTTTCTCTGCTGAGTTGGGAAGCTCTTCAGCAGTTCCTCATACAGTTTGTATAAGAGTCATCAGTCCCAGGGGAATGAAGACTTGTGTCCACACAGACTCAGCCACCTTATTCAGAGCAGCCTGAGACAGACTGCCCACGTGTCCTGGAAGACACTTACACAGTGAGGTGTCTGCAGTCAGCGTGGTACCTCAACAAGCTAGTCCTCTGCCCTGCAGCATGGCATCCCATGTGGGCACCAGTTCATGTCCCAGCTGCTCCCCAGCCAGCTCCTTGTGTATACCCTAGAAGTGGGGCAGCAGAGGATGGCCCCAATCCTCAGGACCCTGCACGCATGAGGTATTCCTGGAAGAAGTTCTGGCTCCTGGATCCAGGCCAGCTCAGCTCTGGCCGTTGTGATCACTGGGAGAATGAGCCAGTGGGTAGAAGATCTCTCTGTTCTCTGTAACTCTGCCTTTCAAGTACAAACAAACAAGTAAGCAAAGCGAAGTGTCAATAGAATGAACTCGGCCTTGGCTTCTTAGCCAACACTGGGGGAGGGCCCTGGCCCACCGGCTGAGGTGGGGCACAGCTGCTTACACCGAGAGGCCTGGCCCAGCCTTGGAGGAGCCCGACACCCCTCAGTCAAGCCGAGTTACCAGACCCCTTGCTCCCCGTGGGCAGCTCAGGTGGTCAGGGTCCCAGCCTGCCCTGGGCCAGTGGGATGGGGAGTAACCCTGAGGCACTCCGCAGTGGGTTTCTCAGGCCCCAGGAATGCTGAGCAGGGCCCTGGCCAAAGACACAACCCCCTGCCCGGAGAGGCAGCTGCAGGCTTCGGGCTCCTGGTCCCCCGGCAAGGAGGCCTTGGTGACTGCTGCTCTCGTCCCCAGCCCACAGGGAACAGGCCCCCTCGCTGGGAGCTGTTGAACTGCTTGAGGGAGCAGCTGGCCTCAGTGAGACCCCTGGGCCCCCAGCCAGCACTCCCCTTTCCCTTGTCCGTCTGTCCGGGCAGCTAGAAGGAAGGAGCTGAAATGGCCGTGAAAGCCGCAGTGAGCTTCCCGGCATCCAGCTCGGCTGAACAGGAACCACAAGCCCTTTGTCTGCCTCTTCCCGCTGCCCTTGCCCAGGCCAGCTGCTATTTGCCAAGGGCTTAGGTGGCCGTTCCGGCTCAGCTACCCCTTCCTGTGCTCGGAGGGAAATTCTCCCAGGCCACCCTCCTCCCATGGCCTGGGAGTGCCAGCCCTTGGCTGGACTATGCTGTGCAGGAACTGGGGGAAGGGGGTTAGTAGGCAGTGGGGTGTCGGCTGTGGGCACCTGAACCAACCTCAGTATGGTACAGAGTGGTACGTGGCTCAGAACTGGGCTGCCTGGGGTGGGGTCTGGCCTCATCCCCACTGCTCCGGGACTCAGGCAAAGTCCCGCCCTAGCTGACCATGTCCACGGTGGTAGAGTCGGGCCAGGAGCCATGCCAGCCTCAGGGTTGTGAGGTCTGGGGCTGGGCAGCATGGCCTGTGGGTGTCCTGGTGAGAACCTTCCAGGCAGAGTCCACCCTCCCGTGGAAGAGGCATGGGGCATGGCGTGCGATGCATTCCCCAAGGGTTCGCAGCCTCTCCCTTGCAAGGCCCTTGTGTCCAGCCTCTGCCCATGTCAGTGCCTCAGTTTTGGACTGGTGCCATCCTGTGGGTGACCGTCTGCCTGCTTGCTCGATGCCCATGCTGGTGGTCACGGAGAACGGCAGCATGCTGAGGCCCGTTTGTCCAGGGTCTATGGACAGGAACACAAACAGTGTTTCTGGACAGGAGGGCTTCCGGAGTGCTGCCAGAACTCCTGCCAAGGTCCCACTCAAGGTGGATGTGGCCAGGCAAGGCCCAGGTATAAGTGGGCAGGCTGAGAGCCTCAGACACTTGGCACAGGTGAGCAGGAGATGGGGAGTGCGTGCTGGTCCGTGGGACAGGGCTGTGGGGGGCGCATGCTGATCCGTGGGACGGGGCTGGGGGAATGCGTGCTGGTCCATGGGACAGGGCTGTGGGGGGCACGTGCTGCTCTGTGGGACTGGGCTGGGGGGGCGCGTGCTGGTCCGTGGGACGGGGCTGGGGGGGGCGCGTGCTGGTCCGTGGGACTGGGCTGGGGGGGGCGCGTGCTGGTCCGTGGGACGGGGCTGGGAGAATGCGTGCTGGTCTGTGGGACGGGGCTGGGACGGGGCTGGGGGGGCGCGTGCTTGTCTGTGGGACGGGGCTGGGATGGGGCTGGGGGAGTGCCTGCTGATCCATCTGCAGCCTGAATCGGAGCAGGGTAGAGAGGGCCCCTCATTGAGCAGGGTGTGTTCCAGGGCTACCTCAGACTTTGGGAAGTGTCGGCGTCAAGTGAGTGCAGGGTCCCTTGATTAAGATTGGCAGAGAATTTCCTAAGAGTGACATCAGAGGTGGCCCTGAGCTCTCGTCCCTCCAGGGCAGTGGTCCAAGCTGCCCACATGTGAGACTGGCCCCTTCTTCCGATGCCCTTGAGACCTGTGGGAAAGAAAGTGTCCCTCCCCCAGCCTCACTGTCTCTTCCCCTGCCAGACTCCTGCCCACCTCCACCTTGTGTGCCCACTGCCTGAGGCCTGGCCCGAGCCCCTCGAGCCATGCAGCGACTCCTGACCCTGCTTCTCCTCACTGGTTCTGCGTGCTGTGCCCAGGGTAGGTTCCCAGGCTCCAGGGGCTTCCCCCAGAGGGGCTAGAGGTGAGAGCTCACCCCAGCTCCCTGTGTCCTGCTCTGCTGCCCCCAGAGATGCAGGGCCCTGGCGGCGGCTCCTACTTCTACGTTCGGGGAGAAGAGCAGGGGGAGCTTCGGGGCATCCGGGTCTTCGTGGGGCTGCTGGGCCTCATCAAGGGGTGAGTGGCACACTGGCCTGCACTCTAGCTTCCCTGGGGCCCAGAGGGCAGGCTGGCCTCACATCCCTGTCTTCCCCAGCTCCCTGGCCAGCCCTGGCCAGGCCACCAAGGTCTGAGAGTGCTGGGAGTGCAGGCCCTGGGGAGGTGGTGCTCAGTGGGCAGACACCTGCTCAGGTGAGCCAGGCTGTGAGGGCTGCCACCTGCTGTCTTCCTGGGTGGCAGCTCTGCCCCACCAGCAGGCCATCTGTGCTCAGTGTTGCCTCACCCAGCAAATCAAGACTAGTGCACCCGGCTGATTTCAGAGAAACAAGGAATCCTTTCTAAGCAAAAATTTATTTATTTAAAAAGGCCGAATGGCAAAGAAAGAGGAGAGACAGAGAAGACGTTTTCCCGCTCGCTCATTCCCCACCCGGCTGCAGTGGCTGGGCCAGGTTGAAGCCAGGAGACTGGAACTCCCTCTGGGTCTCCCATGTAGTGGCAGGACCAGGTACTTGAGTCATCTTCCACTGCTCTCCCAGGAGCCTGAGTATGGGGCGGCCAGGGCGAGCTAGTGCCACTGTGCCGCAGCGCTGACCCAGGATCACTGGTTAGTGTGACAGTGGCATGTGGCTGCACTTTTGCCCTAAATGTTCATTTGCAGCTCAGCAGTACCGGGCAGAGGCCCTGCAACAAGATCGTCATTTATCTGAAATTCAAATTAAACTGAACCCGGGTCTTTTCTGCTGACTGTACTTGTAAGGCTTCTGAGAAGGCCAGAGCAGGACCAGGACACTGATTAGGACTAGCTAGGACCTCGGCCCCCAGAGGGCCTCCCGGGGCCACACCAGCACAGCGCAATCTGACTTGCTGGTCAGCTCCGGTCAGGGTCCGTCTCTGGTTCACTCAGCTCTCAGAACTCAGTGCAGCTGCTGTGGCTTCCCTCTGGGTGCACAGGGGAGGGGGATCCAGAGTGGGGAACAGCTGGGCGAACCAGGCATTGCCGCTCTGCAGCCACCCCGGGCCCGCCGGTGTTCTGGGGGACGAGGAGGCTGAGCCCGGCAGAGGCAGGGCTCCGAGTACTCCGCGGGGCCGGGCAGGCTGCCGCTGACCCCGCTCCTTTCCCAGCGTGCAGCTGCAATTCGGACGCCACTGGAGCGCGCGCTATGGAGCGCCTGGCGGCCACGCGCACGAATTCCTGCTGCAGGCGGGCGAGCGAGTGACCGCGGTGGAGGGCAGCGCGCGCGCCTGCATCCGCTACCTGCGATGGACAACCAGCAGGGGGCGCCAGGCTGCCTTTGGGAGCCCGGGCGGCCGGCTCTTCAGCTCCCGGGCTCCAGTCCCAGGGCAGCAACTGCTGACTGCCAACGGCCAGCACCGGTTCTTATGTCTTTCGGGAATCGGCTTTAAGTGGGGATTCGTCCAGGAGGCTCCCACCCCGGCGTCCACCGTAGCATCCACTCTGTCACCCACCACTGCTCCTAGGCCAGAGATCTCCCCAGTGTCCACCCTGCTGTCCACCACAGCCCCAAGCTCAGCGCCCACCCTTACGTCCACCCTGCCACCCACTGTGTCCCCCACCCCTGCATCTACCCTGCCATCTATGGTGGCCCTCAGCCCAGTGCCCATCCCTGCGCCAACTCTGCCATCCATGGTGGACCCCGGCCCAGCGCTCATTGCTGCACCCACCCTGCCATCCGCTGTAGCTCCCAACCCAGTGTTTCCTATGGCACCCCATCTTCCAGCTTTGTGCCCACCCCTCTGTTTACTCAGAGGACATGCAGCCCAGGCCCAGGGTGTGCCCTGAGTCCCTGCTGCTGGAGCCCTGCCCTCTGCCCCTTGGACCTGGACAAGCAGATGTCCTGGGCAAGAGGCTCTGATCCCCACGCTGAATAAAGCATTTGCCCCAGAGTGAGCCTGGTCCTTGTCAGTCCTGGGGTGAGGTGGAGCTGCCCCACCCCTAGAAGGAGTTGGGCTGTGTGGTCTGCCCCCTCCCACTGAGCACCCACCAGGGTACTCTGCTAGGATTCTGGGAACTCCTGTGCTGGCCTTGAGCCCTGGGACCTCTCATCCCCTATCTGGCATCTAACCTGCCTCTCCTCCATCCTGCCTGCCTTGCATAGCATGGACACTCGGGACACTGTCACTTGTCCAGGCTGCCTGGGGATCCTTGATGGTCCCTGATGCTGCCAGTCTGCACCCCCAAGTGCCAGCCCGACCGTGCCAGGCACAGGGGTTCATCAAGGGGAGGATCAGACCACACAGCCAGCAGGGTTTTTTTCCGGACTTTTCAAAACTTCTTCATGAACACCTGTGTTAAACGCTAACGCATCCCATGGCAAGTGTGAGGACAAGCCCAACTCTGAAGTGATGAGCCTCAGGCTGTCTGCCACGAGGTCACAGGTGCTGCAGGTGTGTGAGGTCACAGTGGTAGCGAGCTAGGGATTTCCAGTACAGAATAACAAAAACAGATGGCTTCCCCCAACCCCACTCATGGCATTGTTGGGATTTGTCTGCAGACCTTAGTTGAAGGGGCTGTCAATCAGTTTTGAAAAATAAGCTAAGGGGCTGGTGTTGTAGCAGAGTAGGTAAAGCTGCAGCCTGTGATGCTGTCCTCCTGAGAGGACACCTGTTCAAGTCCCGGATGCTCCATTTCCAATCTAGCTCCTCCTTAAATTGCCTGGGAAAGCCACAGAGGTTGGCCACGCGCTTGGGCCTCTGTACTCAATGTGGGAAACGCAGATGAAGTGTCTGACTTAAGCCTGGTTCAGGCCTGGACATTGTGACCATTTGGGGAGTTAACCAGTGGATAGAAAACCTCTGCCTCTCCAATTCTGCCTTTTATATAAATAAATACATCTGAAAAATAATCTAGGCTGAACTAAAACCAGAGAGGAGAGAGGTGCAGAGTGCACCCCAGGCAGAAGGAAGAGGGGTGGCTGTGTAGTCACCACCTCCCCTGGGGCTCAGGGCCACTTCAGTGTGAACCCAGTGCTGCCACTCACTACCTGCATGACCTGGGCTGAGCCCCCTGGCACTGAGTCTCCTCCCTTTGTTCCATTCTTGGACTTGCAAGAGCTGTTCTGAGTCGCCTCTGGCTCTCACCCTAGCCCTAGTTGACCCCTTGGCCACCACTTCCTCCAGAAAGGCTTCCCTGAAGCACACCCCTCCCCTAGGTCTCACTTCCGAACTGAGTGTCCGTGTTGGACTGCTAGCATCCTCATCTGTCCCCACACGGCAGCCAGCCCTGGGGTGCCCAGCCCTGTGTCATCATTCACCCCGCCCTGTCTCAGCTCTGTCCCCCGAATCCCAGCCTGGGAGTACACCCCATCCATGCCCAAGGACTACGCCTGCACTTGCTGGTCCCACAGAAGTTTTATTGCCCGGTGGGAATGGAGTCAGCACTCGACCCAGTTTCCCCCAAGCTTGCCCCTGGCAACTGGGCAGCTGCATTCATTGAAGGGTGTTGTTACAAGTTGGGGCAGGGAGCGACTCTGGGGGCAGTATGCCCCACTTAAAGCCGATATTCTTGAAGCCATTGAGAGCCAAAAACCCAAAGAAGCCCTGGAGCACCTCCCCATCCTCACTGGGAAAGGCGGAGAAGGGCTTGCCCACCGACTTGCCGAACTGCACACAGTGGTTGTGGTTGGTGCACACATTCAGCATCCAGAGCTTGAGCAGGTGCTTGCCGTGGACGGCCGTGATGTGTTCTCCAGAACTCAGGTGGAACTCCTGCATGTTCCGCCCCAGCGACCCATATGTGGCATCCCAGACACACCCAATCTTCACCTGGATGCTGGGGGACAGGCACAAGTCCCTTGGGCTGGGGTGGGGAAGCCCCTTGTCTGTGCCCTGTGACCCAGTCGCGAGATGGTTTTGCCCTCTGGACACTTAGCCTCTCCGGACTGTTTCTTCTTCTGGGACGTGGGTGGGGCTACTGGGGTGGTGGGGAGGGGCAGTGCCAGGTTGCCCGGACCTTCCGCAGGTGCCAGCGTGTTGCTATGTTCCAGAGCCCACCGTCCCTAGCCAAGTTCAACTTCCTGCATCAAATCACTAGCAACAGAGCAGGTCACAGGCCTGAGAGATGGGGGTTGGCCCGGCACCAGCTCCCAGTGCCCTCCCAACCCGCCCGGCTGGGCCTTACTCCGCACCTCCTCACCTGGGGCCGTCCAGAGCCTCCCCTCCCCCCCTCCACAGCTTGCCCCGGCACTCTGCTCTGCCCCCTTTGCAGCTGTCCCCGGCAGGAGCCCTGAGCTGGGACACCCCCATCTGAGGGCCACGCCCCGGGTTTCTGTTCCTGGTGACCCCTGTTCAGTCAGCAGTCCACTCTGCTCCTCAGCCCCTTTCCTTTTTGTCTCTGACTGGATGTGGAGTTGGCGGGGTGTATGGGGGTGCTCCCCACAGCCCCTTGAATATCCCAAAAGGCATTGGGCACTTTTGGGGAAGGAGCTAAGTTGGTGTTGGAAGGCAGTGGGAAGCTCCCCGACCCTCGAGCGTCCCAGAAGGCACAGTGGGGCTTCAAGGGGTGTTAGCAGGAGAGGCAGGCTGTAGGCTGGGTGAATGGGAGTTGGGGGTCGTGGGGGTAGTGACCCCAGGGCCACTCACCTCTGAATTTGGCCCAGAAGATTTGTCGTGATTCGAATCGCCCTGACCTCATTTTCATAGTCATCGAAGGTACTGAAAAACTCGCCTGCTTCGTGTCCGTATAGGACTACAAGGGTGAGAACCAAGGGGGGCCTGCCAGTCACATGGGGCAGGCATTGTTGGCAACTGTGTGGGGAGAGTGCCCACCAGAGGGATGGACCCACTCACCCTTGGCCCGAGAGACAGGGCTCCCCAGGAGTGCGAGGGCCAGCAGCAGGTACAGCAGCATGGTGTCCGGGGCCTAGCCCGAGGCTCTGGGGAGAAGCAGACAGGTGGGTGACCCAGCACGCAGCTGGCCATCCCGGCTCAGCCCTGTGCCGGGCCGTACCTGGCTAACAGTCTGTCCTGAGGAGTCATGCTGGGACAGCCTCCGTCTGCCCCTTTATACCTGCTCAGGCTTCTGGCCCTCATCCAGAAGGAACAAGGGCCACTAAGGCACCAGGAAGGAGCTGGGGGTGCTTCCTGGGGGAGTCCCCGAGCCATCCTGAAGGAGGCTCCCGGACACACCATGTTTGCTATCTTGGCCGTGCTACCTACGGGACCACACAGGGCTGGTGACAGGCACGACACTGTCACCTCTGGGCCGTCTCGTCAGCACCTGGGCTGACCTTAACTCCAGAGGCCTTCCTGAGCCCCACAGAATGGCCCAGAGCCCGCAGAAGCTCCGTGGGGGCCCGCTCACCCTGGCAGAGCTGGCCCCAGGACCACGCTTGCCTGTGGCGCTGCCTGCGGGCTGTCCAGAACCAGGCCTTGCCGGTCCCAGCCCAGAGAGCAGGTACATAGTCCTTTGCCTGCCCCCATGCCTGTCAGAGTGTGTGACAGAGGAGAGGCTGCAGAAACCCGGGCTGTGGCCCTCAGACTGGGTATCCCGGCTCAAGCCTGACCCCATGTGCTGGCTCTAGGAGCGGTGCTAAGGAGCTTCCAGGCTGTGGATGGAAAGGGCCCCACAGCAGCAGCAGAGCCGTAGGAGCTGGCCTGAGTCCCTGGAGGCAGGCAGCAACAAGGCGCCTCTCCAGGCACTGGTCTATGGAGTCTGCTGGGCGACCATCCGCCCCGTTTCCTGCTTCACCTCCTCACCCCGTGTGCAGGCGGCTGGACCAGCTTCAAGCCAAGACATTGGGCACTAGTCTGAGAAGGGCTCTGGAGGCATGGGGCAGGGGAGATGGGAATGCCTGGGGGTTGAGGGTGACGGGGCCTCTGGCCTCAAGAGTGGTTACAGGGCCGCCACTCCCAAACTCAATCCAAGTCCCTGCTCCCTTGGCACTCGGGGCTGCTCTGTCACTGTCCCCTGCCCCCAGCTTCCTCAGAGCCACAGGGCTGCTCTGAGTCCTGCCGGGCTCCCCAGGGCCAGGCAGCCAGGTGGGAGAGGTGGTTCTCTGGGAAGCACAGAGGCTAAATGACAGACACAGGCCCGGCACGGTCTGGGCTAAAGTCCTCGCCTTGAACACGCCGGGATCCCATATGGGCACCAGTTCTAATCTCGGCAGCTCCATTTCCCATCCAGCTCCCTGCTTGTGGCCTGGGAAAGCAGTCAAGGATGGCCCAAAGCCTTGGGTTCCTGAACCCACGTGGGAGACCTAGAGGAAGTTCCTGGCTCCTGGCTCAACAGGCCATTGCAGTCACTTGGAGAGTGAATCATCAGACAGAAGATCTTCTCTGTCTCTCCTCCTCTCTGTATGTCTAACTTTGTAATAAAAAATAAATAAATCTTTAAAAAAAAAAAAGATGACAGACACATCTGTCGGAAGGTAGCGAGAAGCCTCATGGCAGCCCTGCTGTAGGCACTGGTGGGGTCTCTACATGAGCAGGAGTTGGGAGCGGCCTTGCGTGTGCAAGTCACGCACCCCGAAAAGCTGGCCTCACTGGGGTAGCTGGAAGCTCGAGTGCTCACCACCTCTTAACATCGGTGGGAAGAATTTGTTTTGTGTGGCACATTCCATGAAATCCCCATGCTGCTGTGCTCCCAAAAAAAGTGCCACTGACCCACAACCACACCGATCCACGTACGTGTCCCTGTAGTGGCCCCGCTCAAACCTGACGTTAGCCAGGTGCCCCTCACCTCACCCCTCAGCAAACACAGCCCTGTCCATGGTGCTGGCGGAAGGTTCTGGTGGCAGGGAGGGGCACCAGAGGTGCTTCCAGAGGCCTTGGGCCAGGCCTGGCTGGCGCAGGCTTGGGTGCCCCCTGCAGCTGTCCTCCCAGCTCTCCTCCCCTTCCTGACCCCACTTTCCTAGGGGCACAAGAGGAAGCTCCTTCCCGGAGGTGGAACCTGAGTCCTTGGCCCAGCCCAGCGGCCAACAAAGGGGACTTGTGTTCCCATCCCTGCTCAGCCTGAGGGCCCTGTCCTGGACATCTTTCTAACTCCAGGCTGGCAAAGTTCAGGGCCCATGAAGAGGAGAGTCTATTTAAGCCGGGACTCCAGGAAGCAGCATCGCCAGCCTGGCTGGGGGAGGCATACACAAAGTGCCCAATAACAGGGCACATGTGTACGCTGCCAATGCCCCCACGCACATGTGAACAGGCACATCAAATACATACACGCATGTCCCCACACATGCTGGCTAGCCGCTTCAACACACAGGAGCACCCACACACTGGGCACAGCTGCTTGGCACCAGCTGTACACCTGGGGCAGTCCTGCATGCTGGCCCCAATCCCATGGCCCAGGAAGCTCAACACAGGCCCTTTGTCCCTTGAGAACCCACCTCCCCAGAGCCTACCGCAACCCTTGCTCCCGTCCCTGCCCCAGGTGCCAGAGCCCTGGCTCTGCCAGGATGCTGAACAATGCTGCCCTTTCCTCCCAGCTTTGGGGCCTGGCATGGCTGCCAGGGTGTTGGGCTCTGGTCTCCTTGCCCTTCAGACGCGAGGCTCAGGGACTTCATACTGGCACAGGCACTAGGCCATCCTCTTGCCGGAGCCCCCAGCCTCACTCAGGCAGTGCTGGGACAGAGTCATACAGGCAGGAATTAGCTCAGTGGTCCCCATCCTGTAAGAGCTGTTTCTCTGTTTCCCCAGAAATATTCACCGCTCTCCTGGGAAAAAGTGTCTTTGGGGCGGCTGCTGTGCTGTGGGTTAAGCCAGCACCCTTCGAGCACCATTTGGGTCCTGGTCCTGCATTCCAACCCAGCTCCCTGCTGCAGCCCTGGCAATGCAGCACCAGTGCTGGGGCCCTGGCCACCCGTATGGGGCACCAGCAGGGGCCCCCTAGCTTTGGCTGGACCCAGCCCCAGTCTTTGCAGCCATGGGGGAAAGTGGAAATCTGTCTCTACAGTCAGCCTTGAAACCAAATACATAAAATAGAAAAGAAAACCAGGGCATTTAACTCCACATCTTGCCTAACCTTTTGTGTAATTAAAATTTCCTTTAGTGCAAGTGTCAAAAATAAATGGTAACCAGAAGAAAAAATTGCTTTGGTTGTTGTTAGAACAGCTCATCAGTATGAAATTCTGCTCTGTTGTTGAACAGTTGAACA